GAGTTCATATAAGTAACTTCCCAGCTGTCTAGAAAACTATGTTTCCTTGTGGTCATCTACCACCTCTGGCCCTTACAATCTTTATACCTTCTCTTTCACAATGATCCTTTAGCCTAGGGAGTAGACATCTGATATAAGCGGCCTATTAAGGTATAAGCAGTATGCATCTCTGCACCTTGGCCAGTTAAGGGTTTCTGTGTTAATTGCATCTGTTGAATAAGGAAACTTCTGTGGTGAGTGTTGAGAGATGGATTAATCTATGGGAATAAAAATAAGTCATTAGGAATCAGATTAATATAATAACTATTTAGTAGAAAACTAGCATTAGGCTCTTCTTTTTGTCTTATGACCTGTCTAGACAAAGATTCCTAGGCCTGATATCAGAGAAGGTCGTGGGGTGAGGGAGGGTTCATGGTAGGGGAGACAGAAAGCAGTGATATAAAGGGAAAAGAGTGGGAAGGGTTAACTGGGGTGGGGAATGGGAGGGCAGGGCAGGGCAGAGGAGGGAGCATGGGGAGGGATAACTAATACTAAAGGCCTTTTGATAATGTTTTATGGAAACCTACTGCTACAGAAACTTTTTAAAGTATAAACATACAATATAAAAAGAAATTAAAAAGCATTCCCCACTATAGGCTAGCAAAGGAAAAGCCAATTGCCAGGAACGAACTTCCTCTTATGAAGCTATTGATTGGTGCTACCATAGACCCTCAAAGAATACTGACCATTGCCCCTGCTCTTGGTTATCCACCAGAACATCATGATAAGACCCGAATGCTGAAGAAACTACCCACATTAGCTATAGAACAAACAAGAAGAAATTAAACTGGCACTGACCTCAAAGCTTCGTTTTTACTGGCTAGGATTCATAATGCCAGAAAGTGCTATGCATGCTACCAGAAGATAAAAGTAATCATCAACCTTGCCAAGCTGTGAATCCTGCAAGCTACTGTGATGGCGTGGCTAAAACAACTCCATCTTGTATCCTTGGAGCCAGGCAGGCTTGACCCAGGACCAAATCTAGTTCCATTAAGTCCCTCCCCACTTCCAGAGTCCAATTCTGAGAAATAGCTGACCACAGATGTTGCCACCTTTGCTTGCTTGCCTAAACAGGAACTGAGTAATGCCCTGTTTATCTAAGATACCAATATATACCCCATTATTTGTAAACCTCATGACTAACCCATGACTTGTGACATGCTAACCAGATGTATTGTGGTTTTTGTCTTTAAAACTTTGCCTTTTTCCCTGCCTGGGCTGCAGTCTCTACTCCCAAGCTGGAGCTGCAGTTAGCTGGCAAGTCTAATAAATAATTTGGCTGATTGGATTCTGATCGAGTCTGAGTGGTCTTTCCAGTGATCCCAAACTCTGTAACACTACGACAACTGGCTTGGCAAGAAATGCCCACTGGTGCAATAGTGGCACATGTGTTATGAGAGTGACCAACTGCTTTCTGATTGTATTTAAAGTTCATTTCACAAGGTGGAGCCCAGACCTAATACTGGTATCAGGCCTAGTTCACTTATTTTTATGTTAACAACAGTAAAATCATAATCTAGAAACAGTAGTATGAACCTTCTATGAAATCTTAAAATTAATCTTCATAACAATTCTTTATATATTCAGGAACTGAGATAGGCAGGGTGAGAACTTTTCTAAATATGTCTTAGATAGTAAACAGTAGATGAAAGACTCAAAGCCAGAATATTTATGTCAACAGTCAAAATTTTTTCTTTCTGGGATTCAAAAAAAAGATTTATGATTTATTTATGTGTATGTATATCTATGTGTGTGTGTACCCTTGGATGCCAGAAGGGGGTGTCAGAACTTTTGGAGCAGGTGTTTCATGTGGTTGTGACACATAGGATATGTATGCTGGGAACCAAACTCAGGTCCTATGGAAGAGGAGAAAACGCTAACCTCTAAACCATCTCTCCAGTGCCCCATTTGGATTTTCTGTTATATTTTAGCTATTGATCTGAATGTTCTGGAGATGGATAAGTCAACATATGAAATGTTGAACTCTGTGTTAGTTACCCTTCTCATTGTTGTGAAAAATACCTAGCAAAACAACTTAGAGGAAGGAGGACTTACTATGTATGGCTTACTGTTTGAAGGTATAGGCCATCACTGTGGGGAGGCAACAGAATCCAGAACAGGGCAGGCCAGTCACATTGCATCTGCAGGCAGGAAGGAGAAGAGATAAAAGCTGGTGCTCAACACGATGTCTCCCTTTCATTCAATTTGGAACTCTAGCCCTTGGAATAGTACCACCCACATTTAGGGTGGATCTTTTCACTGCAACTAACCCAATCTAGAAACTCCCTCTGAGACATGTCCTTTTCATGACCCTGAAATACCAGCTGCCTACTTAGCTTTAATTTTCAACTTGATACATTCTATAGTCTTCTGAGAGGAAAGCCACAATTAGCAATTGAGGACTTTCCTAGACCAGACTGGCCTGTGGATATGTCTGTTGGGGATTGTCTTGATTGTTCATTGATATAGGAGGGCCCAGTGCACAAAGGGACTTAGATTCCTAGACAGGTGGTCCTGGGTGACATTAGAAAGCTAGATAAGCATGAGCCTGTGACTCAGCCAGCAAACAGCATTCCTCTGTGGTTTCTGCTTCAAGTTCTTGTTTAGGTTCCTGCCCTGACTTCCCTCAATAATGGACTTAAAACTATGAACTGAAATAAACCCTTTCCTCCTCTAAGTTGCTTTTTGTCAGGATGTTTTATCAGAGCAGCAGAAAGGAAACTAGAAGTAGTTGTTCTAGTGTGTTTTTATGACTTCATTTCTTTGAATTTTCTGCCTCCCACCAGATTCGACCCATTGTTCTTCTACCTGGCCTTTATTCTTCAAAACTGTGCATACTATATTTCTAGGAAATGCATTTACCACCACCTTCACTCCTCCAGCTTGCTGTTTCAGTCAGTCAGGACACCTAGGACTGAGTTACAGTTCTTATCGTACTGTTTTGTCATCTTGGGTTTCTGTGCTTGTTTCTCAGCTCCAGAGTGAGGGCTTCTGAGTGCAAGCACATGCCTTGCTAATCATGGTGTTCTCAGCATCTGGCACATGGCAGATATTCAAGGAATACAATCTGGGTGAAAATGAATAAATGCATGAAGCATTTTCTTTATCTTTTCTACTCAGCCTAGGAACAAAATTCATTTGGTTGATGAGATTTTGGGAAGTTTTCAAAAAGAATAAGAAAGCATTTAAATGAAACTAAATGCAAAGAAACTAAATGCAAAGAAAGTGTGAAGGTGTTGAATTTGGTAAGAAAGATTCTAATGAACTTACCTTACCCCTCTCTTGATACGATTTTTACTGGATCACAAACTAGCTTTGAGCAGTTCTAACCCTGATCAAGAGTTTAGGATGATAGTGTATTCCTTTTTTTTTTTTTTTTTTTTTTTATTGTGTAATCCAAACTGAAGCATAAAATTAAATGTATTTTTTCTGATATATGACATATTATTGCTTTATTTTCCTTTCTTTTTTATCTGTTAAAGATTCCTGCAACAATATAGCAACTGCAAATTTCCTGTACATACAGAACCACATGCAAGTTTTGATTGTGTTTTTATATTGAAATGTCAATCTTATTCAAAGAATGCACAAAACATTTCTATATTGACAGCAACCTATATTATTTTCTAATAGTTTCCTTTCTGCTGCTCTGATAAAACATTCTGACAAAAAGCAACTTAGAGGAAGAAAAACTTTATTTCATTTTACAGATTACAGTCCATCATAATCTGTAAAAAATAGAAACAGAAGCAGCTAAAACTGTCATTTTGAAAGCTTATGAAGAACCCAAGAGGGTTAAATCAATTCTTTAACCTGACAAATAAGTATGCTATAAAAATATAAAACTAAAACATATACACCAAGCATTTACCAAGCTTTTTCCAGGCTAGGTTTTTCAGTTTCGATCACTAGGGAAAATATAGTATAATCATTTCTTCTGTGTGTGTGTGTGTGTGTGTGTGTGTGTGTGGTGTCTGTCTGTCTATCTGTGCCTGTGTCTGTGTCTGTATGAGGGGGTGTGTCTGTGTGGATAGTGTATGTATGTATGTATATACACACATGTGTATGTGTGCATGTGTGTATGTTTGTGTGCTTGTGGAAGCCAGAGGTGAAACATGGTTGTCTTCCTTCATAGCTTTTCACCTTATCATATATATATATATATATATATATATATATATATATAACAGAGTACATTAAATTGGACACGGGGTGAGAAGGGGAGGTGAAGAGGAAAGGGAATCTAAATACCATCAATTTACATTGTATAAAAATTTCAAAAATTCAATAGAGGTTATATAATATTTAACTAAGTATGAACCCTATAAGACATAAATTTGAATGTTTTTAACCTTTAAAAAAGATCTTCATTTCATTTTAAAGTATACTGCTTCTTACAGATTCATTGCTTTTTCTAATAACACTGAGATGTTGGCGCATGCATTGCTAACCTTTATGTATCTGATTATTACTAGTCATAATAGGTTGCATTCAGATCCTTGGCACCTGTGTATGTCTATAAAGTCATTGGGTAAATTTCAGTGGTAATGTTTATCACCTCTACTAATTAACATGATGTAAATTTTTATGCTTCCTCCTCAAATATAACTCATTTTTAAAAATTTGTTGATTTTTTGTGTGTATGTATATTTTTTTAATTTATTAATTTTATTTCATGTGTAGGAGTGTATTTTGAGACTGAAGTTGATATTCACTGGCTAGACTGGCCAGTGAGCTCTGGGGATTTGGTATCTCTGAAAGCACCACCCCCACCCCCACCCTCACACACCAGTGATGGAGCTGCACAATCACACCCAGATTTTTATGTGAGTTATGGGGATTTGAGTTCATTCTCATGTAGCAGGTACTTTACTGACTGAGCCATCTCTCCAAACCTAACTATTTCTTTGTAAGGAAAAGTAATAATGATTTAAATGTCTTTAGTACAAATATTATCTTCAGTCCTTGCTTCAGCACACATATACTAAAATTGGAATGATACAGAGAAGATTAGCATGGGCCCCTATGCAAGGAGGACATGCAATTTCGTGAACCATTCCATATTTTCAGCAGTACAGCCGGGAGCTTCACAGAGGAAAACAAGGAGCTGAAAGATAACTGTGCCAGCCTCCAGAAGCAGAACTCAGACAGGTCAGCTGAGCTCCAGAGGACGCAGGAGGAGCTAGAAACTCTACAGAGCATCAGTAAGAAGTTAGAACAGAAAGTGGAAGAGCAAGAAGACCTTTTGGGAGACTGAACTGCTTCAACTGAAAGAATACAACCAGAAGATATCCCCAGAAAATGAGTAGATGGGAGTCAGAGGGGATCAGCTGCAGGGCCAGCTAACAACTCAAGAGAAAGAAATGGAGACGCTTGTTCTAAGAGACCAAGATAAGAAAGAGTAGTAGCAACATCCCCAAAATGAAAACAGCTAACTTTTTCTCAGTTTAACTGAACAGAAGGAGCACCAGAAGAACCTCGAGCAAACTACGGGCAAGATGACGCTGAGAAAAGTACCCCAAGGAAGAAAAAGCAGGAGTTAATAGAAAAGAACGTTGAACTGTCGAGAAGACTAAGCGACAAGATTATATGTGATGTCTTGAAGAGGGAAAGATTAGACAAAGAAAATGATCTCTTGAAGAAGGAGAACAACAGATTGCTTAGTCACATGGGTCTCAATGTCGACTCTGCTATATCAAGGGCCTCCTTCAGCTCAAGGAGATGCTTGGCAAAAGCCAGGCCTTGTCTATGGAAACCCACACACTGGTATCCAAGAAATTTCTGCTCCCAGACCAAAATGTCTCATCTGCAAGTCAGACTTTGATGGAATCTGTGATCATTCCTTGGAGCAGCAGCATATGGAGGCCTGTTTTCTTAACTGTCCAATTTATGGCAAGGTCTTCCCAGCAAGAGAGAAGCAAATCTTTGATGACCATGTGTTCTGCTAGTCTAATTTCCCACCTGTTGGATCTATGCAGTATATAGATTTCATAGTGAAAAGATGTAGTTTCTACTGTAAGTTATACAAGTAGACAAGCCCAGCTACCCAGAAATCATTAGGGAATTACTTGGCTCTGCTCTCTGTAAAGATGGAGTCATGTCATCTATAGGATGATGTTGACAGTTTCTACTTCCACCCTTGTGGTACCCTACTAACCTCTCACCTACAGTGGCCATTCTTCCTCAGAACTCCAATACAAGGGCCCAGGAGGGAAGTCACAACAGCCTGACTTGACACAAACTGATTGTCTTCCAAGTTGTTCCACTGCATTCAAAGTGGTCAGGCCTTGAGTTTATTTGTGTGCAGTCCTAATCTTGAGAATAGGAACAGACCAGATATTGAGAATTTCTTCATCCTCCTCAGACCTTTCTTCAACTAATTGCAACAAACTAGCACAAAATGGCACAACAGAGAACTCAGAATCTAATTTGAATGCCAAAGGTTTCCCTTCATCTGTCAGTTCCCCAAAGAAACATCTTACTCCTGAGCCATAGTACAGAAAAATTTCACTCACAAAAAGCCTTCTTTCTAGCAAGATATGATGATGCAGTTGGGAGGCTGAAGTAGGAGGATTCTGAGTTCAAAGCCAGCTTGGGCTATGGAGTAAGACTTGGTCTCAAAATACACTAACAAAAACAGGAAAAACAAATATTATTTTCAATATTGAATATTGAATTCAAAATATCAAGAGGAACAAAATGAATCTTTAAAGAATGTTTTAGAAGAAAGCAGATGTTTAGGAGATGGCTATATCTATATAAATGTAATGTATCCTAAATATGGGTAGATAATGATTTTTTAATTTTTTGCTTCATTTTTATCACATACTGCAGTTCTCTGAGCCCTGTAATTTAGGTCAAATGAGGCCTTATTGTATCACAAAATGTGATCAGTAAGCACAGCTGAATTCTGACATGGAGGTGTTTGACCTTCCACAGATAACACATATCTTTTAGCCATGACTTTCATCACTTTAAAAGTAATACATTAATTTTATAGATTGGGTTAGGAGCAACAGGAAAGCTTTTCTGAAGGACATAATCCTGTGTAGCTTTCAACCTTTCCTCTGTAAGTAGGCCTGGACTAATAGAAGCCAATTCTATAATGTCACTGAAGTTTCATTTTATAGTCAACTCGGATTTCCCAAGTACCCAATTTTGAGTAAAGCTCTTCAAATAAGCACAGAAGAAATGTCCAACTTATAGAAAAGTTATTATAGTATCATACTGAGATTTTTAATTTGAGTATGTATGCATCCTGGGCCTACAATGAGGGACAACTAATATCCAAGTTACACCACAGTTAAAAGAAAGGAGAATATTATTAGATCAAATCAATGTCACCAGATATGCCAGGAATCAACCATCACACATGCCTCTTCCTAGACACAGTATATACAGACATGTAGGTTTCCATATATCACTAGAACTCTTTGGTTTGAGAAGTAGGGGCCTTATGGTAAATTCATTGTATATAGATCTGAGTGGTGCATATTTGATTGATAAATCTCCAGCTAATCAAATGTATCAGATACAGTTGTTATCACTCAAAAGGAAAAATGAGCTCTATCCGTTTTTGTTTTTTTTTTATATATGAAAGTTAGATGTCCTCAGCATTACATTCATTTCTAAGACTGGATCAGTATTTTGGGTAAATCCAAACCTATTATTATAGATTTAGTAGGCTTATTTCAACATTTGAATTCAACTGATGTATTTCATACTATTGCAGATTATTATTAGTAATTATTATAGCTAAAAATGTTACCAAATGAATAGTAAATCAGTAGAATGTATTTTGTGCTGGTCTTTCTACATTTTAGGCAAGCTTATTTAAAATGGAAATAAGGGATTTTGAAATAAAAGACTGAATATTTTGGTTTCCATTTAAAAGAAAATTTTAGCCCTGTTACTTGCTAGTAGTGTGGACTTAATTTTTCCAAAAGAACTTAGTTTCTCTGTTTATATTCATGCCTCAAAATTTTTATGAGATTTCAATTAGATTATGCATATGAATTAGAAGGTCTGTAATACAAAACAGGCATATAAATGTCATTTATCTTCACCCCATTTTCTCATCTTTGATATAATAAATTAGAATTTGTCCACTTTTTTCAGTGAAGATTTTTTAAAAAAATGAGTTTTTCCAGGGGTGAGCTCCAAGTATGTAGCCCTAAACAGAGGTACACAGGAGTACCACTAAATAGATTCAGTGAACTATGTATATTTATAAATGTATGTGTGCATATATAATAATAATGATAATAATCAAAGATGAGGACAAGCACTTGTGGGTGATAGGCACATGTGAGGAGTTAGAAGGGGACTGGGAGGGGAAGAAATTATGAAAATAAAAGATTCATGTGTGAATCTCAAAAAACATATAATTTTTAAAATTCACACCAGTGAAACTCCAAGTGGTTTAGGATTTCTATTTTTAAAATTGTCAATTTTAGCCTTATTACAAGTATTCCAATTTCAATGTTATTTTAGCATTTTATGCTTTTAGCATTGTCAGCTGTGTTCCAGTGAGGCTGGGAGAGTCCTATGCAGGAGAAGCCCATATTCCACAACACTGATAACCTGGAATGTAGCTTAAAAAGGAAAACCTGTTTAGGGCTGAGCATTCCAAAGTCTCTTATTCTTTTCAATTGACTAGTTTAGGGTCTCTATATTAATCTCTTTCTGCTTCAAGAAGCAGCTTCTCTGGTGAGAGGTGACAGATGCTCTAATCTATGGGTATAACAATTAGTCATTAGGAGTTGGCTAAGTCTGTTTATTTAGCAGAATAATAGTAGTAGGTTCCCCCATATGACCTGTGACCTGTCTAGTCGCAGGTTCTTAGCCTTGATAACAATGCCAGGTATGTGCTATATTTTGTAAAGTGGGCCTTAAATCCAATCAGAAGGTGCTTAGTTACCCCTAAAACATCTGTGCCACTATTTGAGGCTATGTTGGCAATTGATAGATCCTGGGATATGTACAAGTTAGTGTTTTCATTAAGGTTGTGAACTCTAGTAGGTTGGACCCATACCCAAGAGCATTTAGGAAATACAAAGTACACTCGATAGGCCTTTTAAAAAGATAAACAATAGTAGAGAATATGAAGTTGGGTGGAGGGTAGTAAGGTGAGGGTGGGGAAGAGGGAGGAGGTCTGAATATGAGTATTTTTTTAGAGAGAAGGAAACATTTTATATTAAAATATGAGGAACATTGGGATTTCCAATATGGCAGAAGCAGCTGTGATTCAGAATAACTTCTCTGAATTCAAGCTGCCTATGATTAAGTTCTAATGTTTCCACTTGTTGTCTTTGACTTTAGGAAAATTGCTCTTCTTCCCTGGCCCTGATTTGTGGATAATAACAATAGTCACTACATAAAAATTAAATAAGATGGTACAATGGAATACTTATCATGATAATCAAGGCATATTAATTGTACTTTTAAATATAAATCTTGACAATATCTTTGTTTTAATTTGAAATAATAAGTGCTACTGTTACTAAGGTACACTTCAATTACATCAGAGCATGGAACGTCACCCTCGTAGCACGAGCTTGTTCATCTTTCTCCAAGATACTAGGAAGTTACCATTGCCACTCTGCAATCTATCAAAATTTCCTTCCCAGGAATTTCTCCTTACCTTCCCCAGTGTTCCTCACATCTCTTTCCCATGTGCTATTATCAATCATTCTTTCAACTTACAGGATGTGACTTCTAACTTTCTCCTAAGTAGAAGTAGGCATTTTTCCGCTGTAATGTGTGGAGAAGGGTTTTCTCCAACCGGTTGTGTCCCAGTATTTCAGGCAATGGAGGCAATATCAGTGTGTATCAAACAGGCCTGTGAACTTCAAGACTATTGTTCTTCTGCTTTCATTCAGAAAACCCCTTCTCAATTAAGACCTGTATCATGTACCTTCTCCCCAACCCACATAATACCATGTGCAAAGCCTCCCATATGTCTTCGCCATTCATGATCTCTAACACCTAAAACTGAATCACTCCTCTTGTCTTCATTACAAAATTACTCCAGATTCATCTGAGAAGGCGTGTGAATGATACAGAAAA